CGGCGGGAGGCCCATCCCGGCTGTCCTCCTCGGTGCTGAAACCATTCATCGCCCACCTGCCCGCCCCTCACCCCGCCCGGGGAGCCGAGAACCGGGGAAAGAGCCGCCGCCGCCGCCGCCGCCGCCGGGCCTCCCCGCGCCCTCAGGGCGGGGGGGGGGGGGACCCCGCCGCCCGGCGCCCCCCGCGGGGGGCCCCCCACTCTTGCAGGGGCCCCCTCAAGGGGGGACCCCCCCGCCCGCCGCCCCTCAGCGGCGACCGCGGAGGCCGGGCCGGGCCCCCCAAGCGCCGCCGCCCACAGGGGGAGCCGGGACCCCCACGCACCGCTCACGCTCACACTCACACTCACACACACAAAACCGCCTCCCCGGCAGCGGAAGTACCGCCCCCTCCATCCCCCTCCCTGCGCCTGCAGATAGAGGCTCTGATTGGGCAGGATGGCCGGTGGGGCGGGGCGCGCCGCCGCCACTCTGCGCGCCTATTGGGGGGAAGCGCTGCCTGTCTGCCGCCACCGCCCGGCCCCGGCCCGCCTCCGCGTTAGCACGGCAGCCGGAAGGTCGCCGGGAGAGAGGCGCGAGGGCGCGTGGAAGGGGGGGGGCTGCGCGCCGTTGCCAGGGCACCGCTGTGCCCCCCCCCCGGTGGGCCCAGCCGCCCCTCACCGCGCCCGCTCGCTCTCCCCTGAGGAAATTCGGCGTCTCCCGTCGCCCCGGGCGCTGCCGCAGCGGCTGCTGCCCGCCCTCAGGGAGACGGCGGGAAGCGTCCCCGGCCCCGCCGGCCGCGGCGCTTCCCCCGCTTCACAGAGCCGCGGGCTCCTCCGGCACCGCTCCCGTAACGGCGCGAAAGCCGGCGGAGGGCCGGGCTGAACCTGCGGCTCTCGCCCAGTCCCGGGTACAAAACTCGTGTCGACGTACTCCACGCCTGGTTGATCTTGGCTACCTCATCACATAAGCCTCCCCGGCTTGCTTTGTTTTGTTTTGTTTTGTTTTGTTTTTTCCTCCCCTAATTACACAGTAGGGATAGTGGAAAGGTTGGAGCTGGAAAACTTTCCCCGAGCAATCTGACTCGAAGCTTTGCATTTCTTTCATCCTCAGGGAGGGAAAGACAAAAAAAACAAAAAAAAAAAAAAATGATGGTGATAAGGGAGTGGGGAAAGAAAGAAATTCCTACTCATCTGTGGAGAAGAGATATTACTTCTGGAAATGCTGTGACCTCTGTAATACCAGACAGCATATGCTATTGTCCAAGGTGCATGAGCAGCTGTAAATGGAAAAGGATTTAATCTTCCTGAAGACTCTGCACAAACAGAAAAAAAGGTTCTACAGACTAAAAATTACTTCAAAGTCTGAAATCCCTCACGTGGAACAATGTGCGTTAGCAGGGGATGATCTGTGCTGAATCTCACACACGGAATACATTTGCAAGAAAGAGACTCCTCAAAGCCCTTGGTCATCAGAGCAGCCTGCTCTGCAGTAACACGGACACTGGCATCTTGCAGCCTGCTCCACCTGCTCCACACAAGATGACTGAGAAACTATAAAATATATATTTTCCAGGCAGTCCTTGCAATACCAAACACATCTCAGAATAAAACTGGAGGGCAGGGATTTAATAATCCTCCTCAACAGTTCTGCCTCTTGCCTTAGTTTTTATTGCCAGTGCCCTCAGGCAATTACTAATTTCTGTTTGTCCCTGTGACTACTAGTAGAGGACCACAGTGCACTCTCCTGGCACACTGCTCCCAGGAGCCAGCCACTCCAATGGGAAGGTGGGGGAAACAAATGTCTTTACCTGCAGACCAACAAGCAGTTAGCAGAGATTTAAAAAAGCAAGATGCCACCACTTATAAAAGCTCCCGGCCAAATCTGCCTGCCTGAAGTAATACCCTCCTGGCAAAAAACATACACATATTCCCTTGGTTTTGGGAAAGGGAAAACACCAGAAGGCTGACAGTGATCTCAGAGCTCCTGATAGCAAGCTTTCTAGGTTTATCTTAACATTGCAAACAAAAATCAAATGGCAGGCTGAGGAAATCTTGCAGAAGGACTATCTTGACATTCGGAAAGCTGAAAACAGACTGCAGGGACAGATGATAATAGCAGCAAGCAAGTAGATAAAAGGGAACATGATCACAACAGGCAAGACTTCCTCCTGTCCTGGTGAGGAGGAGATTCTGCAGGTGCTCTCTGGACTTTTCTGTGGGAAGCTGGGAGTGGCTGGAGAAACAGGCATCATCAGTGCCAGAGCAGGTTGGTACTTACCATCAGGTTGTATTTCATCTTTGGCTCCAAACTCTCATCCCATGCAAATAGAAAGATTTTGAGTTGTTTTGCAATGCCTACTAAGAGGAAAAAAGCCCCTGCTTTTTTCACCGACTGCTAATTCAGGGCTAAGTACTTCCAGCTTAGGCTAACACAATGACATCTTTTTTCAGTTTTCAAAAAAAGAAAAGAAGTGCGTGGAGGTGTTCATATAATTGCAGTTTATTTCAGTGTATTTATCCTCATGGGAACCTCAGGATTTCACAGTCTGCTAGTCCAGAACTAGCTTGCTGTGAGATAAACTGCCTCATAGAGACATTCTTTATTAGGTATCTATCACTAACCTGATCTAATAATTCTTTGTGGGAGCTGCAATGAAGTGAGAAACAATGTTTCATAAACCCATCAGCACCCAGGCAGCTTTAGTGCCTCTGAAGCTGTAATAGCCTGCCCATCCAAGCCAGCCCTCTAATCAAATTAGGGGAACCTACACAGGCCTTTAAATCTTAGCTGGAGCAGCACTACCCTCTAAAGATAAGTCTGGGAGGTAGCTGTCATCTGGAACTTACCGTTTTAATGGAGCCATTCGGGGTTCTTGGGACAGAAATGCTACTCTCCGAAAGGTCTGTGCTGCCAAAAACGTCCTGGGAAGAAGCCTTTTTTAGTTTTTTATACCTCCAGTCAGGAATCAGACCATTTCCATTTTCTGTACCTTGGGGGCCAATGGAGACTCTGCCCTAGCACCTTCCCCCAGACTCCCACTCTCCTCAGCATTTTTCTAGGATGGCACATATTGAACCTACTAAAATGCTTAAACTATCACAGTGTTTGCCACATACTCCCCCTGGGAAATGTTCCCGTGGCCAAGAATCACAGCAGTCTTCCCTTAGGAGCATGCCTTGCAGTTATCTGCTGGTCCCCTAGAAAGAGCCTTTCCTTTCCTTCATGCACGCTGATTTTCCCACATGGCATTGTTTGTCTCCCCTCCATTTATTTCACTTTTTCACCTCATGGAGTTAAGTAAAAAGGAGTGTTGGGAAGGCCACAAAAGAAATGAAGTGGTGACAGTAGAAAGTGCTGACTGTCCTAACGGGAACACCGGACAGGCCATGAGTAATGCCTTTAAACTTACCTTGTCTTGGGCTGAAAGGCTGCACTCCCTGCAGAAAGACTGTAACACAAAAAGGGCAGCAAGCTGTTAAAAACCCTCCCTTGAAAACCAAGGTGCAGGATGGATCTGCCAGTGTTTGCTCTCAAGGCAGGCACGGAGATAGGAAAGCGACAGCTTCAGCCTGCCCTGAGCTGGGCGATGCTGAGCTCCCCCAAACTGCAGGAGAAGGGAGCTCAGACAAGATGCATGTGTAGGTTTAGGCGATTTTAACATTTTATTCTCATGGCTGTATATCTCAGCAGTAAACACACAAACGGCCTTTGAAAAAAGCTTTTTGTGTTGCTTTGAACACGTGGCTGATGACAAGCTCGGGGAGGGAAGTGTCCCAGACACAGTGGCTGCTGCCCAGGTGTCAGCTCTCTGAGGGCCTGAGGGCAAAGGTGCTGTTCCCGAGAAGACAGCAAGGCCTGTGCTCCGAGGAGGACTGTGAAGGATCACCATCCAGGCATGACAGCACTGCTGTGTTTGGCCAGGGGGACAAGACTGCCTGAGAGTCCCACCCTGTCCCTCTTCTGAAGTACTCACCCACACAGAGTAGCAGCCAACTACACCCAGAAGCTCCTCGCTACAGAAAGCCAGCCATAGCTTGACCGTGAGGCAGTCACTGCAGTCGATGATGCTCCAGAATTGTCATCCACAACAGTATCAACCTGGGGAATTTTTACTTAACCAATCAACACAAACTTCTAATCACTGATTTGGGTATCGAGAAAAAAGAAAAAACACACTGAACTAAACACCTTTCCTCCTCCTTCCTTTGGCTAAGTTTCATGCAAACACCTGTCCTCCACTGTTCCTAGTCTCACCTCCCTTTTGCTGCAGTTCATACACAGCTTCTCCCCATCCATTCAGTGAGGTGATGGGTGGTGAGGGAGGTCAGGGTCAAGTGTGTAACTTCTCCATGCTAGGTTTTCTCTGCTCATCTGTGCTTCCCGACAAGGACTGTCCATGGCTGCTATCCCTTGGGGGTGTCCTACCTTGGCACAAGTCATCCACCACCGCCACAGCCCCTCCAGGATGACACCCTTGGGGACAGAGCACCTCCCTGCACAAACATCTCTCCCTCCACATCTCCTCCAGGTTTCTCCACATCTTTTTACATTTCTCCTCACGTGCCTTCTCTCTTCACGACTGCCGTTCCTCGTTAAACTTGTCTGAGCTGGGGTGCTGCAGAGTTCTCTGACAGGCTGGAGTTTAGGGGCACGATGGGTTGTTCCTGCCGGTTTCAGAGCTGGCTGGCAGTAGCTGTAAGGGACAAACACAGAGATGCCCATGGGCATCTCCACAGCCCCCAGCTGCCTGAACCTGCTGCGTTCGCCTGCTGCAGCACTCAGGTGTGAGCTTGGCTGCTCGTGCATGAATGCAGTAAACCCTGCAATTTATACCCAATACAAAGGGCAGCTGAGAAGGATGCTTCCCAAGGGCCTGCAGGAGAGCAGTGCGTGACGTGGCAGGAAGCCTCTGCTGGGGAAACACCAGGCCAGGGTAACTAAGCTTATTCTCATAGTAAGTAGAGAAAAGAAATCAACCGCTGGAGCCAAACAGGCAGGGACAGTCATTTCTGCATACACAGTTTTCAGAAAACACATTAAAAATTTATTTTAAATATATTATAAAAGGAAGTCCATTCAACTTTAAAAACACTAGGCATTCTATCAATGATTCCCAATTTATGAAAGCTACTACATTAAAGTGCTACAAGTCCTTTACCACCCCCAGATATTAGGCTGTTGGTCCTAATATGAACAAAATAAATACACACTGATTCAAGAGGCACCATCCAGTTTTACAGATAGAATGCATGCAGTACAAGGAATAGACAAACAGACCTTATCACTGAGATCCTGGAGAATGCATTTTGAAACTAATTCCCTTCTCCACCCTAGAGGCTAAAGCTATTTGTTATTGTTATCATAAGGGCTAACATTTTAGTCTATTATCTTGATCAGCTTTTATCTTGTTTTGTGGTTGAAGTTCACATTTGCTTCCTCACTAATTGGGATTAGGATTTTTTTCCTAAAGTTGAACTAGTAGATTTAAGACCACATAGATCCAGTGGGTTTATATAAAACTCCCAAATCTCTCACATCTGATGGAATCACTGAAGCCTTTTGGGTCATACAGAAGCATCAAGAAAGCTCAAATGCAGAGAATAATGGAATATACTCAGCTAGCACAGGCAGAGTCAGAAAAATAGACATAGGATTTTTATTAGGATTTCCAGAATCTACCATTGCCTAGTTTCATACAGAGGTCTCCAAGTTAAAGCATGAAACTACAAAGGAGCAATCAGGTGAGTTTATTTTGGTTACACTTTAAATTAATAATGTGGATAAATCAGTCTGACTGGTTAATGAGGAATGTGAAATGAATTGACCACTGTGTTGAATGCTGCTGGAAATTTCAGATCTCAGTTTTCCCATTTTCCTCTCCACTCAAACCAGGTGACTTTTAAAATATGCAACTTGTTTTAAAATATGGACTGAACAGTCATTAGGTCAGCAAATAAAGCACTTAAAGCTAAATCTTACACAGGTTTGGAAATTGCAGCACACAGACTTTCCTTGCTTAAGATCAAGTATTAGACCACTAGTAGACTGGGAGCAGGACCCAGTGTTCCTGACTCCCAGTCCAGCTCCCCTTTTGCTCTGTATCCTGTGAAAGACCTTTTAATCCCATCCCCCAGACTCTGACATTAACCTAAAGCTACTCACCATTTTGGCAACAGTTTGCTAACTATTTAAGAAGCTTCTCATACTAAATGATTGTTAAAATAGAAACCTAGATTGCCGCTTGTCAGAGAAGGACCAACTGAGGCACCACCAGGCTCCTTTGTTGCGAGTGGTTAGAAATACAGTAGGTCAGTAGGAACATGAACCAGAGCAGTTGGGAGTGGATGTGGGATGCAAGGTACACCTAAATGTCTTGTGCTAACAGAGCCAGACTGTTTCAGACATAACTTTACCAGGGCTCTTTCAAATGAGAGTGTGGCAGGCTGACTGCTAGAGGGCTGTTCTCTCCAGTTAAAACCATTCAAGTGTCTGTCCCTATCTTGAAAGACAATTTAAAATAAAAGCTTCTCCCTTTTTATCCAGCAGTTACACGATTGCCCAATATGACTTTTGGGAGACCTCTCTCCTTTCCCCTTGGTGATGTAAGCCAGCACAGTTACTATAATGATCCCACAGTAGCTACGAGAGCACTGTGTTCTTGCAATGCCAGTTGCTGGTGGTGCCTGTTTGACTTTCAGTACATTGATGTCTCAGTGCAGCAGGGAGAACGAAGGTTTGTTGACTGGAACTCTCCAGTAAAGGAAAGCAAAGCCCTGTGCATAGACTAATGTAAACCAAGCCAGGAAGAAAGTTAAACTGACAAATTGCTTTCTTGCTACTTCTGTATTAGATTTGAACACACCCTTTAAGTTTCCCAGTGACGGAAGGCATCGACTTTCTGAAAGACACTTCTGCTACAGATTTTATATGCCTTTGGGACTATTTGTGATTTCTGATTTGGATATTTAGAAAATAAAATGCAGGATCTTGCATGCAGGTGAAATGCATGAGCCATCACCACGAGGTGAACCAAGACATCCTCTGGTCTAGCTTTAGTTGTTACAGCGTACCAAAAGAAAGCTGCCATCCTTTCTGAGTTTTTCTATTAGGAGTGACAAACTCCCCCAGAGTGATTAATGATATCAATTGAACTGAGGAAATCCAGGAGCTTCTGAGCTACTATTGTTCACACAGATTTTGCACTTGAAGTCAGACATTTTAAAAACCACACACAAACAAACACTGTACGAGTCAGGCTTTCTCTTACATCCTTATCTCCCAACCCCTTTCCCTCTTCTCTCTTGTCCAGCAAGGCACTAGGAAATGGTTCAAGTTTAAGCATTTGCTGTACATTTACATTTAAAAAGGCACATCTTTATTTTAATGATGCTGTATTCCCCTTTCAGTAAGGCTCACATGTTCTTCTGTTATGTGTGGAAAAGAAAGTTAATTTCCCAGGCATGAAAAAAAGACACCTTGCACACATAGGAGCCCCAAACCTATTACTCTGTAGGCCTTTGAGATTAGCACCAGTATAAATCAACAACAGCTTTAAGAGCAAATCAAGGTATTATTATGCAACATAACACACATCCAGGGATCCCCCTGTTGTCTGGGATTCTGATACTTAAAAGCAGCGGAATTTATGCAGCCACAGAGAGTGGGGTGTTTGAATACTTTTGGGGAAAAAATATGAAAACATTTGTTTTGCATTAGATAATCACTGGTATTTAATCTCCAGTCTCGACTTGCATGCAGATGTGAAGAGTCGCTTATGTATTCATGCTTTAGCAATTTTGCTTACAAATAACCAAAAGTAATTAGAATAATTAACCAGATTGCCCAGCAAAGGCTCAATTAAAGATGTAGATGATGAAATACAGCTTCTATTTCTCAATCAGTGGATGGTTGGCTACATTAAGTCTTCTCATTAGCCAGCAAAGCCTCTAGGGTATTGAGAAGTATAATTGATATAAATAAATTAATAGCTCAAAGCCCAGCGAGCCAGTCAGAAGTGGACAGATTTTGTGAGGTGCTTATCACACTCAGATCCCAAACCTTTAGAAAACAGATCAGATCAACCATACTGAGAAAGACTCAGTAGAACCACTCACGCTAAAGCTCCAGTTTCCATATACTGGTGGTTGGTTGTTAAACAGGAATTGCCTCAACAATGATCTCATCTTTTGGTGCAAACTGCTAAGAGCTGTCCTTTCTCTCCAAATTAAGATCACTAAGTGGTAAAAGACCTGTTTGTTACTGCAGTTCTCTCTGAAGCAAGTGTCCAGCAAGCCGAGCAGCTAGGACTCTTCACATGGTGAGCCCAAGTACAAAGCAAGCCATGCATTCTAGAAACAGTTTTCTAATGAGAGGATTAACTTCTGAGACACACAAAGTTGCAAGCTGCAAGCAGAATGACCTACAGTCCATTTATATAGTTTGCTGATTGTGTCCCAATGACAAAAGCTAGCACTGTTCATGGACAAACAGCTTCTTGATCCACAGGTATTAAAACATTCATAAAGACATCTAGTCAGGCCATCTAGTGATGCACAGTCAGCACTACTAGACTAATGAGAGGATTAATAACTTAAGGAAAGCAACAGTCAGACACAAAGCACTGGAAGGTGACTCTGCCATAGAAATGAAAAGGGATCCTAATGACAGATGTATTGTAGTTACTGAGAACATAAGATGTCAACTCTCTTTGATGCTGGTCTCTCTTCCACAGGAATGCTTCTGCAAAATTGTCATGAGGAAAGCCTAGAGATTTTTTTCTTCCTTCATTCCCAAAATGTTAGACACCAACACATTTGGCAAGCCTGGCCCTGGCTGTAACACAGTGACCGTGTTTCCCTTGCTTCGTGACTGCACGTACCAGGCAAGTTGGCAGAATAGGCCAGACACAGTCTCAGCTGTGAGGATGAGAGGGGAAAATGATTTTGAGCCTCGTAGTCAATATACCAGACTTGAGAACTTGAGAGGCAAATAGTTGTGTCCTAGTTTGCTCCCAGGTGACAGACACAGCACTACTTGGCCTCAAAGACATCTGAAACATGGGCAATGACACTACAATTGGCACTATCAGAAAGGGCTTCTTACTTCTGGAGCTCTGCAGAGGGAGCCAGCCTGCTTGTTTCTTGACACTAAGCAAAAATCTTGCCTTCATATGAGAAAAAGACACCCTAGAGCAGCTTCCTTGTCCCTCCAAGGAGGAGGAGTCCATTAACCATGCTTATCAAGAGTCTCAGAGGAGTGCCCCTTATCCTACCCTGAGTGTTTCAGTCTTTTACTCCCAGAGCTGGCTGCACACTATCTACTCTTGCAACATTCCTGCATGGGCAGTTGGACAAACTGTGGAGCTGGGCAATTACTGGAAAAGAGCTAGTTTTATTGATTTATGCAGCATCTTTGCAAAAGGTTAACTGTGCCGTCATTCACAGCTTTTACTTGAATATGCTGCTGCTGCCTTCAGTATAAGACTAAGTCAACTGAACTAGTAAATCTGTTTTTGCAACATCTTAATTTTAAATCAGTGTGGGATTTTTTTAAACACTTGCTTCAGACAGACTTGAAAATAATGGTCCTCCATTCGTCCTTTAGCATTAATACTTTTTTCCAGCTCCTGGGATGAGACAATTCTGGGTCAGTGTCTGGCAGGTCCTGCAGCCAAACCAGAAGGATACCTTGCACTGCTAACTGTCTACACAAGGGACAGGGTACGAGTGAAATGGGCCCATCAACCCTACATCTCTGCTTAAGCAAACAGATTTCCAGTCACAGTAAACTGTACAGTGCTGTGGATGTTGGGAAAAGAGGAGAGATTAATGGCACATTCCCACAATCCTAGAACACTACTGACTACAGGACTCACGACTGCAACAAACTACAGACCAATGAACACATGGGTAAAGACCAATGGCTAATCTCAGCCCTGACTTAATTATTCTGAATTAACCTGCTCACGCCAACTGTGAATTAAATTAGCCTTCAAACCTCTGAAGGAAAAATGGAAGTTGCCTTCATGTAGTAGATTTAACTCTGACAAACCCTAGAGGTGTCTGTGCTAAAGAGATTCTGAATAAGAGGCACCTGATATCCAAAGGCTCTTAGCAAAATCTTCACCTGTAAGAACTGTGCTTACTTAAAAACCCTCTGCTAATCTTTCACCTTGAAGATTCAACAGTGAGTGACAAACTGACTGCAAAGTGAACGGACCAGAAACCCAGATTCCTCATTGCTAATAACTACAGCAATATTCCCAACACTTGGCTGCACTTCCACTAGACCTCATTCCTTTATCAGAGCTATGACTTGGAAAGTAATAATACTCAACCTGTTTGAAATATATTTTGGTTTAGGGCAAAGAAAAAAATAAAATATTCATTTTACATTTTGATGGCCTTTTTTTTTGATTGAAAGATTAAATCTTATGTTCAAGATTTTACTTATATGGACTTTGGAAGATAAAGCACCTATGTGGGAACACTTCAGTGGGTAGTATAGCAGCTACAGAAAGTCCTGGAGGGTCCTGGATAACAAAATTATTCAACACCAGACCCAGGTGGGAAATTAGACAAAGAAAAAAAAAAAAAGCAAGCATTTTGAATCACATTCAGACTCCTTTAGAAACAGAGTTTCTGTTTAGTCTCAGCACAGAAGTGGCTCTGGCAAAGCCTTTAAAATTCCACCATCCCCAGAAGAGAAGGATGCAGCATCTTTGCAATAAAGACTGGCCTGCTAATTAACCTTCTCCTGAGATTCTCCCTTTTACCTTCATTAACTGTTTAAAAAAAAGTATTCTTAAAAAAATTTTTTGTAACCCTCCCCAGTAAAAACTATAACTGTAAAATATATATATATATATTTTCTCAGTCTTTTAAAGATCAAGATTTCTGTTAAATTTTTCCAAGACAGTTGAGTTTGTATGTTCAAATATCCACTGCTGTGTTGGAGATGAAGGATTGCAGCTATTCATAAAGATCTTTCGGTCACTTTCACTGCAGTCCATACAGCTGCTGCTTACTGGATGGTAGAGGGTCTTGTCCTGGAGAAGAGAAATTTGATGTGAGGTTGCTAAGCAGAGAAGCAAAGCTGTTTAAAACCAGCAGAGAGAAGTCTTAAAAACCAAGGCAAGCTGTTTTGTCACTTGGATATCTGAAGAAGTTGTTCCACGCTTAACTGGTTGGCAAGTATCAGGGTCCATTCCTGCCCCTTGGAACAGTACCCAGCTCAATCCTCACAGCTGCACTGGGAAGCTCAAAAGTCTGAAGACTGAAGCTGGGCTCTCCAGCCTACGGGCTGACGTCCTGCTGCAGTCACTCTGTGGCACGGTGCATGCAGACTGCAGGGACTAGCATAGGGCATTTGGTTAACGTACTCACCTGTTGGCCACAAAAGCATTGCTTAGTAGGAGGATGAATAAATCCTTATCTATTTTGGCACGATCTTCTAGTATTCAGAACAAACCAATAAACACAGCACACCTCTTTGCAAACAGGTTTTGCGCAGGTGTCGCACGACCTCACTGCCAGCTGCGGACAGGACTGCAAGGAGAGTGTCCTTCTGCTTAGCCAGCCCTGGAGAAGCAGTCCTCACCACTTCTAACCAGTGGAATGGGGGAGTCACCTCTCTCTAATCAAGAGCAATTAATAGCACAATGACAAGAGATTGTCTGCAGATTCTCTTACCACAGCTACATGAAGAGAAGGAATAAAATATGAATGCTGACATTTTAAGGAAGCTTAAGTGTCTATAGGCAATTTGACACCTTAACTGAGAACACGCATACATGCACACGCACACACACTCACTTTTCGGTATCTCCACAGCTGGTTCCCCTTCATTCCGTGACAGTCATAGAGGGTCACAGGGCTGCTGTGGGAAATGGCATCAAAACAAAACTTCTTGGTATGCTGAGGATCCCCGGGACGAATGTCTTCTCTCCAGCTAAATGTGAATACCTGCCAGGACAAACAGGACCCTCAGGATGGTTGGTACTGGGCACGGTGCTTTCACCAGCAGAACGTTGTTCCCTTCTTTGCCCACAGGGTGGGGATGGCTTCAGGGAAAGGACAGTATCTTCTAGAGAAAAACTACTTCTACCTCTGGGGACAGGGACTGCTGACTAGGGGAGTCTGCAACAGCTACCCCGTGGGCTGCCACACAGCATGCTAAATGAGACTGTGCTGCTGCAAACAGCCATGCTAGTTAGCTTGGGTACTAATAGCAGCCTTGAATGTCTCTGCAATGCAGACATACATCACGGATTAAGTGAGCAGCTGACCAATTACAGCACTTCACAGCTAGCAAAAAAGCCAGAGTGCTACAGGAGCTCCAAGTTAACGCCAGCAGTAAACACCCGAGCCTGCACAGGCAGCCTGCAGTCACCTTGAGGAGTCTGTCCCACGCCTTCTGGGACAAGAGACCAGGAGCCCACAACTCCCCAACCCCTGTCCACAGGAGTGTCGGAAGGGCAAACACCAGGGCAATGCTTCCTGGCTCTCTCTTCTACCAACCCTGCAATGATCTCTCAGCTCTTCTGGGTGAAATGAAAGGAGGGATGCTACAGAAGAGAAGGGGTTTTAGCTCTAGTAACTAGGCACAACCTATGTCTGGCAATGCTGTGGCCTTGAAAGAAAGCTACTGGATGCCAGCACATGTGGCCTGGAAATCCCTGAGTCACAGGGGTTGGATCATGGGTAAAGAGTCAGCAGAAGTTCCACCACATACATGCTCTGCTCCTTGCCCTGCCCCGTTGGCATTTGCTTTTGGCAACAGCTTGGAACAGTAGCGTGGTCAAGCTGCATCTTCAGTCATGGCTTGACTCATGACGTGTTTTAAGCATTGTAGGACTAAATCCCACAAAAGATAAACTACTTTAAAGTCAGGCACTGCTGTCAAGCTTTTCTTTTATACTTTGACAAGCACAGCATCTCTGGCAACGATGCAAGTGTCCTCTGTGACCAGCAGTAGCCAACGTGGCCCTGCAGGGCTACTAGCTAGCACACCTCTCAGTCCCTGAGGGGAAGGGCAATTCTGAGGGCTCCCTTTGGAGCCAGGTGGAGGAATGGACCTCTCCTCAGGGAAATCACACGGAGCAGTAAGGAAGATCAGTAATGAGCAGGGTGCTATTATTTGAAGCAAAGTAGCCAAAAACTTTTGCACAAATAAGCTACTTTGTTTCTGTCTCTCTTTTAAACCACTCTTGGGAGAGAAATTACCACAATCACTTAGTCTTAATGCTACACAGAAGTTCAAAACACATTCTCCTCCTAAACATAAGCCAACACTAATTGTTCAAGATCCTCTCGACACAACAACAACTTAGTTTTGGGCTTTGCCGGAGTAAATTGGTTTTGTTTCTAGTTTTCATGCATCAAAATTGATATGCAACAACCCTCTGTCTCCTACTACTGAAGCCATTCCCCTGAAGAGTTATGCATGGCTCTGTAATAGAGGCATTGTTTTCTTGATCTTTTCTCAGCTCAGCTGCTACAGTTTAGACAAAGTAATATTTCCCTCCCTTCTCTTACAATAAAGCTGTCGTTTCTGGCACGTTATATGTTGAGAGGGTGAATCTATAGCCTGGCCGGTTTCATCTCTCTCCAGCAATGGTTGGGTGTTTATAATGCATTTGCCTCCTGTCAGAAGGATGATAGTAAACAGTTATTGAATGCTCTTGCAGGTTCATTAATATGCATGATGCTCCTCTATCACTTTTTTCAGCACAACCTTTGAAGTTAATATTCGCTTTGTTACATATTACAGCTGCCTTGTTACTGGTTTATTATTTTGGCATATTGTTTTCTTGTGCTTTCTTTTGTTCGCTCAAAGATCTTCAAAGCAGAGGTAAAAGCTCTGCACAAAGTCTGTCAGGTTCCAGACCCTGCCACAAACACAAGCCACATCCTGCTACAAGCCCATCAAGTATTAGCACATGAACCTTGGGGTACACAGCACCCTCTGGTCACCTGACAGAGTCCTGCAATGGCCTTCCTTCTCGAACATTTATTCTTATAAATTCTCCCTCCTCAAATTTATTTATGGGCTGATGATTTATCAGAGGGACTGTTACCTGCACATTGTTCCATGCTGCCTCTCCTCTGTCCTTCACACAGTTTTCCAGCCTCAGTGGGGATCCCAGGGCTCCATGCTTAGTATCCACACACAGTCCAGTTCCTACATTGCGTATCTGAAATAGTAAATTAGTCACTGAATCTTCTACTCTTACCAAGTGACAGGAATGAAGGCTTAAATTGCCTCAAATAGTGTCAGTATTTGTATGAAGACAGTTTTAAGATACTTCCCTTAACTAGGTATCTAAACTGGAAGATAACAGCTAGAAGAAAGCACAGGAGCTCAAAATGGGATCCAACACCAGTGGTACAATAACCTCCAGCACACAGCAAAACCCATTAGCTACAGGACTGCAGACCCCACTGTGTTGTAACAATCCACAACTTCACTCCTGGGGTGATTCTTTCCCCAGAACACATCCGACTTTCAAAAACAGGGATGGTTTTCCTGGCTTTCAGGTGGGAAAGATAAGGAGCGGAGTAACTCAAGACAGTTGTGTAGCCCTTTGGAAATACAAGATTTCTACTGTTGCTCAACTGTCACCTCTCCCTAGTACTCCCTGTTGGCCTGTTCTGACAACTAAATAGTTCTTCTACTAAATACACAACATGCAGAACAAGCCAAGCCTCTATTCTCTTTGTAGCTGCGCATTGATAGAAACGGCTGCCTAACTGCTTTCTTTGATCAGGCCAATATAATGGTAGAGGAGTTCTGGTCTTTGAAACATATCAAGCAGGATCTTTAAACACTTGCCACCTTACCCACAGCAAACTGGTACTGGAGCACATGGGTAAGGCAACTGTAAAAAAACAAACCCCAGAGGGTTTGCCCACTGCAGATTTCAGAGCACAAACTTGCCTCTCCCCAGGCAGCTGCTGGAGGCTCCACTGGTGGGTAAAACTTTGGCAAGTCCCACGCGACCTCGTTCATGAACCACTTGAAGCTTTTGCAGTTGAGGTTGTTGCGAAGTTCCTTCTGAGCTGCAACGTCCCCTGCAGAAAGATGCCGGTACTCTGGTCTACGCTGGTATATGTACTCTGCATATTCATCCATCCACACCTCAGCCACCCGCTTCAAGTTCTGTGTGGGTAACAGCCACGTGTGAAAATGAGAGGGAAAAACACCTGAGAACGCTCTGCACAAAATACTGACATTAGCAGTCAGAACAGCTCTCATGTTCTTGCTCAGAAAGGATTTTCATTCACATCCACTCTTTCTCTCCAGTTTCAGGACAAAGATTATTTTTATTATTCTCTAGTTTCAAGGGACTTTTAGAAAGATATTTTTGGTTGAGGTCAAAACAGAATCATGGCACTTGGCCATTTTATCTAGTTCCTTGTGGCTAAGAAAAACAACATTAATCAAAAGTTGGTCTTTTTTTTTGTTTTGTTATGTTTTTTTTTTTTTTTTTTTTTTTTCCCATGTAAAGAAGCTAGTCAGAAAATGATGCTGGTAAATACCACCGGACTTTCAAAGGTCCCTGACAAAAAGCTGCTTTCTTAAATCCTTCTTACTGCATCTTTTATATCCATCTAGGAATGGGATTTGCAGTACTTTCTTCTGGAAAGCTTCAGTTCTCAATATTCTTTCTTACTGCTATTTTCCCATTTTTTGGGGGTAAAAAGCTGTTTAAGAGAAACTCTGAGATACTGCAGGAATACTAACTTTCAGGTGATGAGCCTTCAGAATAGAAACAAAGGGCTTACTTCATGGTAGCAGTACATTTCACGTATCACTGAAAAGCTTAATCCACTGTGCAATTCCAAGACAGCAAGGAACACCACCCTCTCGAGATCCCCCCCTTACTGCTTGTCACAATACTCTCAAGAGACTGTTGGACCTTGGACTGTTCTCTGGCAACATCAGGTACACGCTTGGTGCCGCACAGTGACGTGCCATGTGCAGGCATGACTTCAGTGACCCAGCAGCGCTGCCCACCTTGCATGAAGCTGGTCATTCCAGCAGTGGTCATTTACTACCAAAAAAATCTGGACATTAAGAATGAGCAGTGCACTGACCTTGCCCCAAATGCAGCCTACACACAAGAGCAGGCGTTCATCTCAAGGTGACTGTATGATCTTAGGTGCCAAGAAACAGCCTTTCCTATACCTGCCCGTCATCTCCTTACAGCACTGTGGGAGTATGCAAGAGCCAAATACTGAATCAAAAGAAATATAGCTCCTTCCTGAAGAGAGGCACAGACAGGAGAGTACTCTATCGCTCTGACAGGTCATTGCTGGGCTGAGTAATAAATCCAAATCTATAACTAGGGTGATGCTATTAAACTGGGAAACATTTTAACATTGTGCAAGCCATAAGACTGCAGAACACCAGGGTACCTTTCCGTGGTTTTCAGTTTTGCAGCCTTCCTGCTCCTATGATTTTTTCCTCCCACCAGAGGGCAATGCAATCCCTTCTCAATTTGGAAATTAACTGGAGATACCTAGAATGCACGAGAGGCAAAAGCTCTTTCTTCTTTGGGCTACACTAGATTAAGAAATAAGATGATAGAACATTCCACTGTGGAAAACTACAGCTTGATCATTCGGTGGCCTGTGATGCTTGAAGTTGAGAGGTCTTTCAGTCACCAAAACACAATCACCACACTGAAGCCTGCTGCTCTTGGAGAGCACAGATATGAAATGTATGAAGTATTACACAAATAAAGCCATATCTTGTTTTTATTTGCGATTCCACAGCCAGCGCCTGATCATAAAGTTTCTTCCCAACAATGGCTGATGTCTGGAGCATGGCAGCTGTCTGCATAGGAGCCTGCAGCTCCCCTAAGTTCTCTTCCCTTTGTACTACACATCCACCGCTGTAAAACTGCTCCATTTGACCACTATACAAGTACAATTTATGGACTACAAAGCCTATGTTTGCCTCCCATTGTGGGGTGAGGAGACAACAGCATGGTCACACTGCAGTCAGACATCTGTCATGGGAAATGCCATCACCACTTACTCTTGCCAGACTGACTCCTGTTGGAACCTTGTATGGAACATATTTTCTGTAGATATGACCAACTCTAGAGCAAGGGATGTCCTCCATGCGACCTCCACACATCCATACCTGTGAAACAGCAGAGATACAGATTCACTCATGCTTATATAGAGAAAAATGAAGGAAAAAAAAAAGAGACTTTCAAGTAAAGAACAAGCTTAACCCAGATTTTTTACATTAAAGTACACTTTCTCCCAAATATCTTTCCCTCCTTGCCTTGGTCTCAAATCCTGTAACTACCCACTTACAGCCATACAGCAAGCCTTGATTTAGCACAAGTGCTATCAAGCCCAATGGCTAAACAGTTCAGTTTTGCATTCTTTGGAAAAAAGAACCAAAAAACCACCTAAGCACCCAGAGAACAGCACATAGCACACTGTAAATTGATATATGTTATTACAGCAGTAGTAACCACAGTAGTTAAACTGGACTGCCATATAAAACCTGGGTGTAGGTTGTGTAATGTTGCTGTAAAAGGAAGACCATCTCTGTAGTACAGGTCATGTGTTATGCAAAGCACTCCAGGGAATCCATGAGCTTGTTCAAGTGCCAGAAACCAGAAGAAACTGCTGCTTTTTCCTGTGGTTATCACTGCTATCACATGGTTTCATTGCTGATATGCAGTCATTGCTTTCGCAGCCTTACAATTAAGTAGAAATCCCTGCCTGGTGAAAACATTAGCTTTAAAAGAGCTCTCAAAGTCACCAGAACACACTGCTAGTTGAAGACAACTACTTTGATGCTTGGTGAAAATCTATATTAGGCCCAGAAGTTTCTTTTCCCATCTGGGAAGATTTCACTCTGTCCCAACACTCTGAAACAACTTTCTTTTATTCCTTATTTATAGCATGAATGTAGTAATTTTGTCCAAGTGAAACCAAAGGAGATGTTTTCTGAACCAGCCAATCTACTTCATTAGGTTTAAGAAATAAATTCATATGTGCTTGCCAGAGATTCCTAATCAATACTTAAAGAAAAAGTATGCTTCAGTATGCAAAACAAATTACTTTCTGAATTCTTGAAGCACGACGCTGTCTTGCCCTTCATTCTGTCCTCAGATTTATGTTAATGCCCCGAAGGCAGCAGTATTTAAGAAGGTCCACTGGTGCTGCAGGCTGATGCAGTGTTCTTGATCTCTCCATTCACTGTGGCTAATTTGAGCCACCGCAGTTCACTGTACAATGAGCTTAGTCAACAGCTTCACACATAGCAGGCAATTCCATTAATATTCTACAGTGACAATATTAAATACTTAGCTCGGAAGAGAAATATTTGGCCAAGGCTGCTGCATAATTATTAGCTCTGACACTAAAGTCCTCTGGAGTTTCAGCTCTGTCTACTGGCCCTAATAATTACAGTCATTTGCTGACTGCGTATAACTTAATGGAGGTTGGTTGCTCTCAGTTAGAGGAATATTTTTCACAGGCAACTTCTAAAGTTCAAGGTACTTAATTACATGTCGTTATGGTGAGAGAGATAAGAAGCAAGTTGATAAATGCATTATAAACACCAGGACACACTCCTTCTACAGAATTTCATTCCTTTTGTCCCTGCTGTGTCTTGAGAGGCTGGTACAGAAGAGATGAAGATGAAAAAAGAAACTAGCACCCAGCTCCTGTGAAGTTTCTAGTGGAATTAGAAATTCTTTTTATTCTGTAGCTCCTGTGCTTTTTGCTGCAGAAGGCCACAGTGTGATTCCTCTGCTGGGAAATTAACAGGTAGACTAAGAAAACAAGAATTTGTGGATGTTTCATGTTTCTATGACAGAAATGGTTTGTGCAAGGCTGTAAGAGCTGCAACACATCTAGAGAGTATGAAAAACAGCAAGAACAGCTGAAGAAGCCTAGAGTGCAGTTGCACAGACACGCACACTCCTCAGTAATCCATATTCTTACCCTGTGCACTGCACCCTGCATCACGGAAGCCCTATCGGTTCACAAGCAGCTGCATTTCAGTGCAACACAAGCCTGAATAAAACCACCAACTTGTTATCCTTGCTGCCTGCCCACAGGATGCCTTACCTGCCCCTAATCTCTGAGGAAAGGCTTTCAGTCAGGCTACTGTAAATACACATCTGCTCTGAAAACATGACTTCCCTGAGTAACATGAGAAACAGACTCCTGCAGTCAATATGCAGCTAGAGAAGAGCACTGCCTTTGCACTGCAGAGCTTGTGAAGCACTAACACAGGCAGCACTTATCTACTGAGCAGTGCATTGGAGAGGCAGGGGGTATGGGAAGCCAGACAGAACTGATGATATGTTGGGCCAAGAGCTCCAAGCTGGTACAAGACTCCAGGCACAGAAGGCAACATTACACAAACACATGTAATGATATGATAAGAAAAGCTACTTAACTGAGTTACTGAACAAGTAAAATCTAAGATCAGTTTTATGTGCTCTTTTCCTAATCATGCTTTAAAATATTTACTCCCAAATGATGCTGCAATTACCAGGGCTGCATGAAGGCAATGGAAAGCTTCCTAGTTCCTGCTAGCAGAGCTCAGTGACCCTTTCAAGGTACTTTGCCAACTCAGTGCCTTTTTAACATTATCTCATGCTGCAAGTGACAGCATGGCACTTGCAGTACAAATCTAATTTTAAAAGCATGCTTTCCATTCATTCATTGCTGCTTTGATTTATTTTATTAGTGAGCTTCTTTGTGTGGTGACAGAACTCATTACAACCTCCATAAAGACAATTACCAGTCCTTATCTATAAAACTGGAAGAAGGGGGAGAGGGAAGGAGCGTGACATGCATTGGTAAAACACAGCTAACAAAAGCATTAGAAAGCTAGAGCTAAAGGTCAGGGGAATCACATCCAAGGGTCTGTCAAGGAATAACTGGAAGTGAAGCAAACGCAGAAGAGCCGTGTGCTAGCTGAGAGAACACTTCCACTCAGAGATATTTGGTTATTTTTAAGCAAGGGTACAGTTCACAGGTATGACACACCAGAACTTACACTGCTAAAAATACAGCGCTGTCAAACAGGTGAAACAGTGCTGTTCTGTGGGGCAGCACTTGGTGCCTTCACGGTAACACTGACTGTCACTTACTGTGGTCTCCTTAGGCCAGGGGAGCCAGTTTCTTCTTCTTCTTGTTTTACAGAAGGGTGAGATGGTGCCTCATCTCCCTGGCTGACATGACAGTAAACATCAGAGCCTGAACTTGACGCACTTAATTTCAATCAGCCATTTACTAGAACGCCGTGAGAACAAGAATTAAAGCTGGTCAGACAGACAGTGCTTTATACAATGATCTAATCAGATCTCATTAGGAGAGAACAGGAAATTTCTCTTCTTTCTCAGGCACAATTTTACCAATCTACATTTTCAGCTAGGAATCTAGCAGATGACAGATTTGGTAGAATTAAGAGAAAACCTGGCTGCACTGAGGTCAGTGGGCATACTGCAACAGACTCCTGTAAGACCACAATCTCACCCTAATAATAAAACCATATACAAGGGAAGTAACATAACAACACCAGTGATATTACTTCCATCTTCTCAGTGGCCTGGAGAGCTGTAACTCCATATTCATAAAACGACTCAAGAGCCTTTGACTCAGCTAGTGTGCTCTGAAAGCACAAGGTAATATGCCAATTATTCTCTACATGGGAATGTTATGTTGATCCAATTCCCTTTCTGCTATTTCAGAACAGTGTCACGTAAGACAGCTGAACCTCTCCTCTCAAACACACAATACAATACCACAGTTGGTGTGTGAACACAAATTATCTGGGTATACAAGGTTTATGGTTTCCAAAGACTGAACCATGATGAACCAATGCTTCCCAAGAGAGGGAAAACACACAAAGGAAATAGTCAAGCCTTGAAACGAAAGCTGCTTCTGCAAGCTACAACAGAAATAAAGACCATGAGATGGACCAACGGAAAAAAGCTGGCTGGTTGTCTGAGCACACACAGAAGGGTGGGAAGACAAGGACATGGTGGATAAGTCAAGGGGGTTCTCTATATAACAAGGTAGGCGAGAGAATGAAAGCAAGGGCAACCAATAATTCAGGCAAATCGTAATCCTCTGCATTGTAAGCATCAGCTGCTGTTGCAGCTGGGACTTACTGCTCTATAAAAGATTAAGGTAGCTCAAAAGGCACGGGGATCTGTGTGTTTGCCCAACACCTCTCCTCACACAACATACACCAGCATGGCCCTTCCTTACCGTCTGGAGCATTTTAGAATAATGATAGCACTTTCCAATAATCACATTTCAGAGAGTGGAGGGGTCCACTTCCCTGCTGCTGCTTGGTGGGAGGCTACTCTAGGACCTGAACCAAGCACATAGGGTGAACAGAGGCCAAAAATTCAAGTCAGTGGTCTGAAACTGATCTCTGCATCATCAGATAGGAAGGGAGAAAGAAGCCACCCTGTACCACAGTCGAGAGCCTTAGAATTGAGCAGCATGTGCTGGCTTAAAAAAAAAAAACAAAAAAACAAAAAAACAAACAACCAAACCCACAAAAAAAGCAGCAGAATGCCCGGCCTGTTTCAGTGTGGGCAAACGTGAGCTGCTGGAAAGTGGTGTGAGTGTGTTCCTGGAATAAGCAGCAGAGGCTCACAATCAGCACTGACTTCAGTGATAGAATTAGAAGTGCTGTCAGAAGTGATCCCTTGGCAGCTGCACCCTAACTATGCACCTGCCAGGAGGCCAGTGGCAAAATGTGAATCCGAAATGTGCTGCTGACTTGGGACAAAGGAGATGCATGAATTAGATACAAGAACAGAAGCTATGGAGCACTTAGATTTGTTGGAAAACACGCAGCATGTTTTATGCTATGGAAATCAGGAGAAGCAGTCCATGCTGATGCTTTGGGAAAAGGATCTGCAAAATGCAATGATCTATGATCGCCAAAATAAGCACAGTGGATATTTCCTATTGCTGAAGTGAGGAGTGAAGACCAAAAATACTGTCCATCTCTTGCTTCCCCCTTAATTGTTCTTTTCAGGGCAACTCTCAATGGGGCTTGTTTGTACCAAGCCCTTTGAATATTATGAAGGCTTTAAAATCTCTAAATTACATGACAAGTATTTCTAAAACTGAAATGATCTATCACCTGGCAAGGGACATTCCGGATTCCCATTCTTTGCTCTTGAAGTACAATGTACAATTATAAGATTGAGAACCACACCACTCAAGTTCTGAGGTACAAAGTACATCTATATTTATGCCTACACAAGTCAGAGACATCACGTTTTCCTTTCCTTTTCCCCATACCCAAAAAACCAGAGACTATATATTTATGGAAAAGAGGTGTGAAGCAGTTTAGTGAAGATTACGTAAGCCAAACAGAATAGAAGCCACAAAAATACTGGAAAAGAGGCAACATGATCACAAATAAAACCGAGTGTAGATAATTGCTGCACAAAGTAGCATTTGCAGAAAGAAACAGCTTAAATACTTCATATATACTGTTCTGAATTAAATATATTAATCTCAAAGAAAATTAAGTGGTTACGTAGGCAGCAGAATGTAGGTATTTGTTGAGTATGCAGGAGCATTCAGAAAATCAGAGCTATTAAGTTGTGCTTAGAAGGAAAGATAAGATTGTCACTTTGGGTAAAGTATTCCATTTTGTTCACATCATTACAGAAATATACAAAAGACCAGGAAAAACTGTAAGAGAGGAGAGGTATGGAAGTGACTCCCCAAAAGCAAAAAGTAAAAACCTCAGTGAAGACCACTGAACAGAGAAACTACAACTGTAAAGTTAGGGGCTGAAGAAAGGAAAGGTAACAAGTACCACACAGAAATAGCTGTGCTTGCATGTTTACCCTTTCTCCAAAATACAAGAATGTACTCAAAGGTCAGCATCTGGTAATCCACTGAGATGAAGGAGAATGGTTCTTACACCACGCAGATTGGCAGAGTGGTTTGCCTGGAGCATTCTGCAAGCAGGGCTCGTGAAAAAACAAGGCTCATTTGAACAAGTATAATGCCTGCAGCTAAGATTCAAGACTGCAATCTTCCTGTTGCATTTGATGATGACTTGAAACAGGAAGACCCCTGACCTGTAGAAGTACTGGGTTATAGGCACTGAGCTATTCTGGATATATACAGATCAAAAGAAGAAAGAAGCATGTGTTTTCTGCTTGAATATAGAATGGATAGATTCACTACTTCATTTCTAATCTAGAAATTTCTGTTTTAAGAGGTTGAGAAGACCCAGAAAACTACAAACCAGCAGTTAGGGGTAGAAAATTTGTTTCTAATTTAAAGTTCACCTAAATTTTTTTGTCCCTTCAGCATGCCATGTTTTAGTGATGTCTGATGTACACATTTCATAGAAGGAGCAAGGCTTCTATTAATGTTTGAGCTATCATCTGGCTAAATGTTTTCTGAGGTGCTAAACACCGATGGTTTCTCTGTTGGCTTGCCTTCAGCCTGAAATTTTCTTCTCTGAAGGAAGCAGAGCCAGTTGATGACAGAAAAACATATGATCTCAAAACAGAAAGGCAAGAGGCTCCTAAATAAACTTGTTTATTTCCAGTCTCTCAGCAACAGAGCTCTGGATTTTAAAATAAAGGCAAAAAAGCCCTGTAAAGCACAGTCCATACATGGCCAAAATAGAATATGCTTAAGGAAAAAAAACCCACAAACCTACTCCTGTTGAGGCTTGAGAAGGCCAGATCTGATGCAATGGATCAAAGACCAGCAGTACAAAAGGGTACCTGCACCCACAACTCCCAGGCACAGGAACGGATTTTTTGTTAAAGTCAGGCTGTAAATTTGGCACGCTTAGAATCTGAATTCCCATTAGATAATAAATAATGTGAAAGCAGATACCCCACGTCTAAACCCAGAGCTTTAAATTATTTGTCAGTGCCCCCTTAACTACAAAATCTCTGTCTGCTTCTAAAGGTAAAAACGTAGCTCTAAGCACGCCAGGAAATGTCATAGCTTCATAAATTCTATGAACAAACCTTCCATTCTTGCTATTCCAGCAGAATTATTAAATCTATCAGCTACAGATGAATGTATCAATTTATCTTAATTTCTGAAAATACACTGAGCTTCTTTCAGATAAAACTTAATTTTTCTGTTGCACAATGAAAGAAAAAAGGGGGTCTTTGCAGAGATTAATTAAAGCAAATTTATCCCTCCATAAATTACCATCTCTGGACTGAAATAAAACACAGTGTGTTTCAGAGAGGATAAGCAAACAGATGAATGAAGTAGTCTTATTTCCTGCAAATCAAGCACTGTGACTGTCTGCTGTGGCATTAGAGACAAAGGGTTTGCCCAGCCACTGTCATCACTCTTGGAAACTAGCATTTTCCAAAAGGGCCAAGGAAAAGAGGCTGAATACCACCACTGCCCCTCCTGCAGAGAATGATATTGTTACACAATTTCATTACATACAACACAAAGAATAGACGGTTCTAATCGTAATGACATCTCCAAATATGGTGCCCCCTGCCCCTCCCTTCCTGCTACCATTACAGAGGAAAAGGGACCTCCAATGTAACTTTATTACTTGTTTTTTTTGTGAGCAAACAACAGAAGGAAATACATCGTTTTCAAGACAATGTATTTTCTTCCATTGTTTGCTATATGGTATTACATGGTGTGTACATATGGTAATATGACTTGCTGAATACAGTTTGATATGCCTTTGAATTGCATAGAGGCACTGAGAATTAGGAATCTGGTTTGCAGGAGATCAACCATGACTCGTTTGTCAGTGGAGACATGAGGAATTTTTGCCGCTGAAGCTAAACCATGTACTGTATTAGCATCACTACCATCTTCTAGCCCTGTGCTGAGGTCAACTAGATTAGTTCAGGGCATCCAGACACCTATAAGATTATATATTCAACCTATGAAAGAGAAACCACACTGTGGCCCAAGCAGAGTTTAATGTAGAAATATTTACTCTGTTCACTCCAGCCTATGGAAAGGATTCCCAGTGCCGAAGTGAAGACTGGCCACCTGCCTTCAGTGGTCCGAGACATTCCAGTGGGTTTCCTAGATGGATTTCAGAGTGCCATATTCCAAGGTTAACACAAGTACCAGTGGTCTTTGTGGGTCACAGTGACTCGTTACTATTATTATGTATTTTTGGTCAGCTGGATAACTTATTTTAAAGCCCTCAACTGAAGAGCTTGGTCAAACAGTAACAGAATTGTCCCCAAGCCAAGCAGATAATGATCTGAAGTCATTGCCAGCCACAGTGTTATTATTCCAATTGTTGAGGATTTCTTACAGGGTAATTAATAGTCTCAGTTCCTTGCAGCCAGGAGTCATATGGATTGACTACAGACAGTAAGTTACTCTCATCTCTGGGAACTCAAGCTCAGGACTGAGGTTTTCAATCCTGAATCCTCCTTACTTCAAGAAGGAGAGTAGTTCATCATCTTGCCAGGAAGAGTACTAAGCAGCCTAACAGTCAGAGAGAGCTCCACACAAGCTGACTTACCCTTGCTTGGAAGAGCGCATGCATCTGAAGCTGTGACCACAGAACGGGGGACACCCCAGCTAATCATGCTCCAAAACTGACCCTCACAAATGACTGGTCACATCATCGCTGTTTCTTCTGTGTACTATCTTACTACTCCCAGCTCTTTCACCTTTATTCACACGCAAAAGCAAGGACAAGATAGATCATTCATATTCTGCGCCTCAGAACAATTCTTACTTTTCAAAACAAAAGTAGTTTCCAGAGAACATAGCTCACCTTAAAGGATATTTCATACTGCTCTCCTCCCCATATCTCCAGACCTGCATCATACCCTCCCAGCTCCCAGAACCACTTTCTATCGACTGCAAACAGTCCTCCAGCCATTACAGGAGACCTTAAGGAAAAACCAGACTCCATATTACAAACACATTCAAAGATACAGATCTCTAGCTAAACATTTAAAAAACAAAGTAAGATTTGACAAATATTATTTTCATCACCCAGTGTTCCCAGTGCCTTTGCAGTCCTGTTGGAGCATCAAACAGTTGTTTTCACATTATCTACTAATTTCCCACTTGCAAATGAGGAGGACCAGACTAGGCTCCCTTCAGAACCAGTCAATGCCTCTCCTCCAAACAGGCAGAAGAGTTCACCACTAAGTGACAGGACATAACCTCTCCCAGGGGTACCCATATGCTGCACATGTGGTGCTCTGTCTCAGCAGTATGATCAAGTCCTTGAGCTTGACCTCAAAAAGTGTTCTGCTGAGGTTTCTTTTGAACACTGCAGAAGTAAAAAGGACAGAAGAACTGTCTCAATGTTGGCAAGCACAGCAACAGCAGAACATAACTTGATCACAGATTTACTTCTGCAATGCACTGCAATCATCAGAATTGCTGTAATTATTCTGCTAGGTTTTCTTCTTCCCCCACCTGGGAATGACATATAAGCTGCCATTGGTTTGTTGTTTTTGGCAGAGCATTAGGGATACTAAGTTATGTTTGAAAGATCTCAGTAATAAATGACCACATTAAATGTTACACATTACAGTTTTAAATGAAATGTTAACTTCTGTGGGAATTAAGGTGGCAAAAAATAGCAACAAAAAGGAGAGTGTTCACAGCTACTACACAATACATTTCCTTTAAACCAACAAAGCAAACAGCTGCCAAAAAGCAAGTAGCTTAACACCACTTCTGACTTTTACTACACTGAGGTGTAAACCAATCCTGTAACAGGGTGTTATTTTGTTAGCCAGCTCTTAGCACACTGCATTTCAGTAACTTACTCAAAGGGATCACTGGGATCAATTTTCTGTAACTCAGGAGGAATAGGGATCCTCTTGTAATACATCTCCCAGTCAAATGCACCTCGCATTGCGTCTCCAGCCTGAGTCTCATATCCAAAGTGGTCATGATCAATAACATCAATCATAGGGCAAACGATAGTCTTGCGGTTTCGGGCAATGCGATCTGAAGATTGGAGAAACATGTTAGAAAACCTGCACCAGTTCATTCCTTTCACTATGAAATTACAAGAGCAGCATCAAAAGATGAAGTTGTCCAAGAACAACATAACTTTCTTCCTATTTGTTTTCTTTTTTTCTGGATGCTCCAATTTATATTAATTTATTTGATATTCCTGAAATAACTGAGATATTCAAGCTAGAACTACTGAGATAAAAACACCACGCATACATGCTACAGTGACCATTACCCAGAAGCAGAATAGAAAGACACAGCCACACTACCACAGATACCTAAACCACCAGGCTAAAACCAGACAATCTTGTATTTAGTGAACAGTCCTCATTTTAACAAGCGACCTGGATGTGAACCCCTTCCACACTGATTCAAAGCCAGGGCAATAACCCATTGTACCACCTAGCTTTAATTACTATGCCAGAATCTGGCAGGAAGCAATTTAGACTAATGGCATAACTACTCTCAGCAGGCTCAAGAAATGCAAGTGTACCTCCTCCCCTCAACCTTTTCTTCCAACCAAATAATACAAGACAGGATTAATTCCTGCATAAACATCTGGAACTTCTTAAATACTTTATTACTGAGACGGTCTCTTGTTGGAAGTTAACTTTCAGAGCAGAGGCGACAAACAGCTTCCAATGCACATCTAACAGAAATCCTTTCTATGCTTTAAAATTAAAGTATACTCTACACGTTCTCATTTAAATGGCATTTGAGGCAATTCCATCCTCTCTCCCCGGGGCTCATGAAGCTGCAAATGTTTTACACTATTACCAGATACAAATTGTAGTGAAAGCAAAGTATTACCATCCAACAATTCTGCTGAAAAATCTGAGTAGTTTTTCGTAAATCTCCACTTGACTACAGTTGCCACAGTTTACTTGACAAAGTTGCACCTCAGAGAGAGCTTTGACAGGTCACTTGCAACAGGGTTTTAAAGGAGTTTGGTACTGGCCAGAGGCACACGGGTACTAGAGAAAGAAGGCACTGTCCTTTCAATTAATCACCCTTGAAAAGAACTGACATTGTAAAACTGACACCTCCTTAAAGATGAAGCACTGCCTGGGAAAGGACTGAACACATTCTACAAATACATACCAGCAGCTGCCATTCACAAGAAGTATTTTCTACCGGCTTGCAGACTATGAAGTTCAATACAGATATATAGGAGAAAAAACCCCTAAAAGCTACCTAAAAACAGAATGTAAAGATCTTTCCAGTATCATAAAGCCATTCCTCTCTGCAAGTTGCTGAACGACCATGCAATAGTTTACTCTTCTAGGAAGCTGTAAATTATTTAAGATTTCATTTAGTAGGAAACAGAAGAATATAATCCCTGTTCTTTAATTAAGCAAAGCATATGATAGAGTTATTGTACAGTGCAGGACTCCAGAACAGAAGAAAATTCTTGTATTACAGGCTACAAGTTGCCAACAATTGAACTGAGTCTGTGGTTGGGTTTGTTTGGGGTTTTGTTGTTGTTTTGTTATGTTTAGGTTTTGCTTTTTTTTTTTTTTTTTTGTTGTTGTTGTTGTTGTTGTTTGTTTTCCCTTTTAAAACATGTCACCTTTCTTTTGTCCACTTACATCATGAGGGGAAAGCAGCAGGTGGAAATAAGTTCAACACCAACACCTGCTGCCAGCTCTTTAGCAGTTCAGTTGTCAGCCACGTACAGCACCACATGCTTACCCAACAGAGGCGGCAGCCAGTTCACGTTGGCCTCACAATGGGAATCCAAGAAGGTGATGACATCCCCTATCGCCACAGAGGCCCCCAGCATTCGAGTTCTTATCAGCCCTTCTCTCTTTTTGGTTCTGAGGATTCTTACATTTGGGAACTGGGCCATATAATCTTCCAGGCGTTTCTTCAGGTGTTCTGTATGGAAATGAGAAATTTAAACACTATAACGACTCATTTCTTAAAAACACGGTTCTTTCTTTACCAGAAGGAGAGGTCTTTGGAAGTATGTCCTAAACATTTAACAAATAACAGGAAAAAGGAAGTAAGAATAATTTATTTTAAAACTGGGGTTTAAACATAACTGCTTAACCAAGACTCCTGAAGATGTTCCAAAACCTTAGAAGCAATAACAAAAAAAAAAAAAAAAAAAGAAAAGAAGAACTAATAGAAGATGGAGGAATGCAGGATAAGAAAGGAAAAGAGGAAAAGAAATAAAAAGCCAGCTGGCAGACCTTTGGGAGAACTTTATCTGAGTAGGGATTCTTGGACACTTTTGTGGAAAACCAGTGTACCTTAGAAGAGACACAGGACAATTCACTTTTAAAAATAAACTGCACTCAGTGCATTTAAGTTGCGTTTGGTTTCTTCAAAACACACAACATGACCATCCACTCATCCATAAATAATAAACAGCAAAAAGCCTAGTCAGACATCTCTCCAAACAAGCAAGGCAGGCATAGCTGCTGTATATATTCGGATGGCTATGTTAAATGTCTATCAGAGGAGATACTTGCATTTAAATATGGAAATATTTATGCTACTGAATATGGACTGGATCCACATCTGAATTAGCCCAGACACTTTTAGTCACCATGATTAACAAGAATTCAAACAGGAGAGCTGCAGAAAAAAATTACTGAGTGATCAAAACAATGGACAGCTTGTTTAGATGTGGAAATAAATAGCTCAGTCTACACAAAGAGTGAGGGGCACACAGCTGTCTTTACATCAGAGTGAAGCACCAAAGGAAAACCTAAAAATAGGCTAAGAGCTGACGCTGGCCTAATCACTAACGGGTTGATCTTTAGGCATCTGAAGTTTTAACTTACTTGACAGCAAATCCCATTCACAGTGTGCCAGGGACTGTTCATTAATGCAGCACACTATCCACTGCCATCAGCAACGGATCAAGGAAACAAGCCTCACTAGGCAAAAGCTAGTTTGTCAGATCTAAGCAATTAACTAATCTTAAAATCTCACACAGTAAAACTTGAATAGAGGCAATCATTCAAATACAAATAACCTTACAGGTTTATTTGCCCTGACTATAGGGAACAGATCCACTCCATTCTGTATAGCAGAGTCTTCCTTGGCTTCCAAAGCAGGCATGAAAGGCAGGGGCTGAAAAAGCAGACAATGTGAAAGTGCCCCCGAACAGGGCACCAGGGAAGCTGGATACTGGAATAGCTCTCTAAAAAGAGCAGAGAGGCAAATAAACTTAACTAAGTTATGAGCTCTCTCCCATGGTGCTGACCCAGCAATTGTGCTTCAGAGTTTTAGCCACTGGAGGAGAAAAATGGCCAAAATCCATGACTAACACACAGTCTGCACCTTCTCTTTGAAGCAGCCATCACCTGCCTTCCTTCAAAGACCACCCAAATCAACTTCTTTGCTTTTGAGGTACTCCTAGCAAGCTCTTTGCGCTTTTCCAATTTTTTTTTTTTTAGCATTCCCCAGGATTTTTTTCTCACAAATGCATTTTAGTGTTTTCCCTGATGAGTCTAATTGTCCCAGAATATCTACATAGGTTTTCCTGCTCAGTAGAGCCCTTAGTACCTCCTTCTGTCTAGCAAGCTTTTTCCTCATCCTTTTCAAGTCTCTTCTGAAGCAACCAGAAATTTTGCCAAGTACAGATTTTACAAATAACGGCCTTCCATAGAGATTAGATATATTATTAGTACAGCTTGCTTCCTCCTGAAGCAGTGGGTAGACTTAAATAGCCAAAACAAAACAACAAAAAAAAAGGACACCACCACTGCTCAACATCACAGCTCATCCCTTGCCATTGTTAGTTTATCACACAAGCTTAGTTCAACAGAAAAGAGAACAAACAATTCTCACTTCAACCATAAAATCAGCTAAACCCAAGCCAGGAGATACACCTTAGTTAATCTACTCAAGACAAGATAAACATAAGAGTGGCTGCCAGTGCTCATTATAACAAAGGAAGTAACCATCACACACAAGCTCTGGGTCCAATTCTCCTAACAGTAGCCATAGATACTGTAACACTTGCAAGTTCAGACCCCACAGTGTATTTATGTTATCTAATTCACACCTACAAATCACTGGAAGGTCTTAAAAAAATCCGAAGCTCCAAAACAATGGGAAAAAGAATATATAGAGACTTTCTGCAACTTTTTATTTTGATAGAAACAAGAAAATGAAGTTCTGAAAGATCCCAGAGGTTTGTCTTCCACCTGTGTGCCAGTCATTTTATGTTTTAGCATCATCTACCTTTCTGAACTGTCCTGTTTTTTTGTGCAGTTTCATCTGTGGTGATACCTGAAGGCAGTCTAATGAATTCCTCCAGGAGTATGAGCATGGCACAGCTGAGCTTGCTACAAAGAAAACACTAGCATGGTTTGGGATCTGATCTCATGCAGGAAGACACACACCATCAAGTGAACAAAGAGTCACTACACTCAGCCATATTTGTGATGATGATGGCTGCTCTGCTACAGACTAACTGAAGACAGGCTGATTTATAACTATCCATGAACAAGCAGTTAAGAACTGAGAGACTTCCCCATTTTCATAGTGTAACAGGAGAAAAGAAGGCATAGGAGCCACCGAGTTTTCTCAGGCAAGTACTCTGCAAAGAGACAGCAGGAACTCTAATCCCCTGACTTCCCATTCCACTCCCAAATGCAGGGTTTGGTTTTTCAGCAATTCTTTACTACATTTCTATAGTAAAAAAATTACCAGAGCATTTCACGCTTGCAGCAAGTATCCTGTTCTATGCTGTACTGGTAAGAAATATCTCACACATCAGGAACCTTCTTATGTCTCTGATGGCTGGAAGCAGCAAGGAAAAGCTACAGGTACTCCATCAGCACTCATGTCTTCTCACTGGTATGGGGGGGACACGTACCAAGTGCTGTCCTTGCAGTCAGGAGGAGTGATGCTCAGATAAGCTGCTCCCAATTGCTGCAGAAAAATTCATGCTTAATCATTGCATTTTGTAAGGTTAAGATTTATATATCATGAACTGCAAGTAAGCAGACTTTACCTACTTTCCCTTACTAAAGAGTCACAGATTTTCAAGCAACCTCACAAGCAAAGTACAAAACACAGTACTTTTCAAAGACAAGGTTTTCTTATTTCCTTATCCCTGTACTATTCCTGCTGCCCAGTCTGACCTCTATATGTCCAGATGGAAAATAGTTATTTCATTCTATTACACATATTGTTACAATTAAGTCAATTTTTGCTTTTTAAAGTAAACCTCCAAAAAACAAACAAGTGGCATTAACTGCTACAAAATTTTACGAGGCTTTAAAAAATATATTATGGAATCTTGTCACACTGAGTAATTTTATTACAAGGGCAATTTTCTTTAATGAAAGTTGTTAGGTGAACTGGATGGATTCCAATGTCTGCGCCTACGCTGGGCAAAGTAATACAGCCCAAACATATAAATGAGAGTAAGATTATCTGCAGATTAAAAACTAGGCTGGTAGCTTGCTAACAGACTTTGCAATAAACTTGATATACAGTGTATACATTAATAGTACCAGTCAAGAACTACTATTTTCTTTATTTTGAGCTGTAAATAAAACTGTGTGAAGATAGTGGAGAAGCTTCAACAGCAGCCTGCTTAACGTAAGCAGTCCCAAAGCTTTCTAGAATAAGACTTTATTTTTCATAGCTCAAATTCCTGTGGCAGTCTTACTGTACTTCTTCCTTCTGGTCTCACCATTCAAGCAGAGATGCCCTCAGATGCCATTAGTCTGGTGACCCCTTGTAACATGGAAGGACTTTCCAAGATAGGAATTTCTTATGTCCAGTTGAGTTTTAATTTCAGCCACTGCATGCCTGCCAATTGAACAAGCACCTAAGAAACGTTACCACGTCAAAAATAAATCTGTGCAGAAGCTGGAAGAGGACACAAGAGCCCAAGGATTATTTTTTTTTTTTTTTTCACATCTTCGAGGCAAAAGCATAAGAAACAAGGCAACATAGACATGGATCTACAGGACAGGAACAGCAATGCAGTTGCAGTGCCCATGGGACTCAACTATTAAGTCAAAGCAGAAGTTAACTCAATACATTCCCTCACAGCAAACCACACAGCCTGTCTGCACTCAGCAGTGTCTGGATCCTCCCTGTCTTTCACATCTCACTGGCTCAGCCACATTTTCACAGAGGCTTGTACAAAATCATCAGTAGGTTTGTAGCCTGTTTTGAATGGATTTGGCTCCAACCAAAGTAATTTTTCTATAAAAATCAGTGGAAGAGACCCAGCAATTCTCAAGTTTCTAACATCTTGCCTGCACGCTTTAAGTTCAACAGCTATTTGTCTCAAGAGCTGCTCTGAAGCACAAAGGAACCTCATTCCCTTGAGCTCACACAGCTCAGGTTTGCAGACAGCAGCAGGCCACTGTAGTCACAGCTCACAGATGAAGCCTGACCTGTTTTACGCCCTTTTCCCTCCCCACAGTTACACACCAAGATCTGAAGCACCTGCTTAGAAGTAATTGCACATGGGGTGGTTACCTTCCCCACAGACACCTACAAATAACCGACTGCTATGTGCAACTAGTGCATACCTCCCTCACTAGGCAAACATGCTAGGCTGCTTCCCAGTAGGTTGGCAGAGTTAGAGAAATAGTTGCATCAGGCCTGTTGAGTTCTTGAGACTTTGTTTTGTTTTTAAGCAGGAGATGCTGCTTGAAGACATGGAGCTTATGACTCAGGTCATTCTCTCCTGAGACACAAAGATGAGTGCTGCTTGGAGGAAATCATTGGGGTCTCTTAGAACAGACTCATGGTCTGGTGGTACTTTGGGACTCTCCAGAGCTCAGACGATCTAGACTACTTCCACCTCTGGCTGCAGTGAATCTTGGGCAGCTGCAACTGGAAGGTACTCAACACACATTTGCTTTCTGTATTTCAAAAGATTCAAGTTGAAT